AATGTCAACGGTTTGTGGAGCATTTCTTTACGGTCTCTAGCTCCGGTGGTGCAAACACCTTGTCACTCTGCTCTGGCCCGTGTCCAAGGTCGAAGTCGATGTCGTTTACCGAGCAAGCGAGTCTTTGGTTTGGGAAGTGCCATTAATTGCCTGTCGGCCATTTTGGCTGTCAGGAGAGTATCTGTTGCCGAGCAACCGGACAACCATTGCAGGGCAGCCTCAACCCGTAGCTTTAACCCGCAGCCTGCACCGGTAGTCTCAACCCGTAACCGTATCCGTATCCGTATCTGTGGCGTCTCCAGGCCTCGTCGCTGGTTAAACAAATCAACGCTTTCATGGCCACTAATGCAATCAGGCCGCAATAATTTTAACGCTCAGCGTACTAGCAATTTGTCATTTTCTATTGCACTGCCGGCTGCTGTAGACAATAGGGGTGACTGGGAGGATGGGATGAAAAGCTTTGGCATTTTCATTTCCATTTTTATGCGCTTGTCATCGTTGTGAGATTCAATGGGGTGGCAGGGGGCAGGGGACATGGGCTCCGATGGAATGGCGATGGGATTGGAAGAAATGGTTTGGGAGATGGGGCTTAAGTGCTGCCATTTGCAGCTAGAAAGCGCCTTAGTTGCCTTAGTCTCATTTGAGATACTACGCACACAGAAACACACACATGGATATACCCATTTATGTACAGAAAGTGTGTGTGTGTGTGTGGACACACGTTGAGATGCTTTTTAGTTGATGGGATTGCTTAAGTTTTCTACTTTGCTTTGGCTCCTTCGTTGGTTGGTCTTCTGTCTTTTTTTTTGTATGCCCGGTAATTGGAGAGTATTAGCAGGGTATGCTGTAGTTGTCAAAAAGAAGGATGCGTTAGAGTATCTATTGAGAAAAGGTTCTCTTATAATCTTCTAATCTAACAAGTAATCGCGGGCGCTTACAGTGGGGGTCCGAGCCTTGTGGATCGTAAGAGCGAACGCGATCCCTCTCAGAGCGCTGTTAGAGAGCGCTAACAGAAATCTGCAAACTGGATCGACAACAGACTGTTAGCAGAGAGTGGGGTGGTAACAGTCTGTTATTCTTAGGTGTTAACAGCACTGTTGCCCCGTTAGAGCTGCTTCCCAGAATAGGGTATCATCCAGTTGTCCATATATTGACGAACGTTTTTCCTAGTTAGTTGTTTTTAGCTGTCGCAGCACTTAAATGTCACACAGAAGGTTCCACTGTCCAGCAGCAGGCAAGGAGAATATAATACATACATACATATATACTGTCAACAAAGTAAATTTTAGACAAAAATACCCTCCAACCAAAAGCAAACCCATTTGTGTACTGTCCAGTGTGATTGCACACCGCCCGATTGGATCGATTGGTTCTATTAGATTGATGCAAATGAATCACTCTTCCTCGAGAGCTGAACTTCTGCGGCGTACGCGTGTGTTTGATTTTGTGGTGGCCCAAGTCAATTGGAATACAATTATGTCCCAAGCGTAGAGGAAACACATAAAAAATCCATTTAATTTCCCCCCCCAAAAGGCAAAACCAGAGCAAAGTCAAAGTTGTTCTCACTGGAATGTTGTCCGGGTGTTCTGATTCTGCTTCTGGTTATGTGGTTAGCCAAGCGTTCAATAGATAACACACACACACACACACAGATACATATGTATATGTATTTGTGGGAAACACTCATACCATAACCACATCTATCACACACACATACGCAGACACACACTCACTTAACATCCATTAAACACTTCATAAAATGGTCATTTCTTGTTCTTGTTCTTGTTCTTTTCTTCGGTCTTCTTGATTATTCCTCCCCTCCCCTTCTTTGCATCGTTTTTCTCTGCCACTCTCTCTCTCTCTCTTGGTGTCTTTTGTTTTTGTCATTTTATTGCGGCATACTTTCGGGCTGGCTGCGGCGTTGGCGTCCTTTTTGTTTTTTTTTTTTTGGGAGTTCTGTCTGGTTTTACCCTTCTCCTGCGTCACTCATTGAGTTGGAAAATTTTTTTTGTAAGTCAATAAATCGATTTCTCTGCATTATTTATAATCACTCTGTCACGCAGGACGCAGGAGGCCTACTAGCAGCAGACAAAAAGCAAAAGTTAGTTACCAAAAAAACCCCTTTGGGAGTATTTTCCCCTGACTTTTATTTTCTCTCTCGCTGTCTCTTTTTCATTTGTATCTGTCCATCTGAACAATCAGTGATTTTTTTTTGGTTGCTTTCTTTGTGGATGTTTGTTAATTGTTTTGTGGGTTGACTGATTACATTTATTGATTTCGACGGGAAACGACCAACAAATCACAAAAAGGGAACATAAGAATTAGCGTTTATTTTGTGACTTGTGCGGATTGCCTTCATCAAAAAGCAGTTTAAATTAATGGACGATTAAAGCATGGTCCTATCTATAAAGACATTAGAATATTATGAGTGAATGTTGAATGAAAACTAAACAAAATAAAACAGAGACATAAAATATATCGTAAGGAATGGGAAGATAAAGTATGCCCAGAATTGGGCTGTTGTCTGGAACGAATTTCACTCGAAGTTTGTGCGGAACGGAAACTAAATTCTCTCTAAAATAAAGTCTGGCATAATTGTGCACATTCTCTGTCCCTTTATAAATTTCTCTATCTGTAATCAGGCATAGCAAAAGCGTAAACTCTCAACAACTTAAACTATATGCAGAGCTAAAGAGAAATTTATGAAATTATTACAAACATAATTTTAACCTGCCGCAGAGTGGGGGTACTTAGCCGAAATCACGTGGCAAACAGAGCTATTGAACTGCAGAAAAGCAAACGAAATTTGGAAACTGAGCGCCTGAAAGTAATTGAGTTATGAAGAAGAATATATTTATCAGTTACACACAGATCGCCCCCAGTCACAAAACAACAATAAGTGCTAGAACATTGCTGTGAAGAATTAGCAAAAAAGAATTGCGATAAATCTGCTTTGCATAAAAGTCTCTCATCTTGAACATTCCAACAGTCAAAAATGTATAAAAATATACTCAATCTTTAAAAATTCTTTGGCTAACATTTCCTTATGTCCAGGTTAGAATTCATTTGAATATATTTTACAAAGAAAGTTTGCCTCTTTGCTTTTTTATTTGTAACATCTGCTGCTCGAGCAATTCTATTTTATCTAAAAACATTTTCCGTCCATAGCTGCCCCCTTTTTGTTTTTCTACCATTTTGAAGCGTTTTAACTTGGCCAAAACTCAATTAGAGTTTTGTTGTGATTCCATTTGAACAGCAGACTACATACAAAAATTTTCATATAGAACATTTCAGGCTGTTTCGGTCGCTTGAACTTGGGCTTGGGTTTCGGTTTTTGGGTTTTTGGCTTTTCGATTTCAAGGCTCTTGACGCTGGCTCTTTGCGCAGCAGTACTTTGGCAGTTTTCCTTGGTAATGGGAAAAGTTTCGCTTTTCGTTTTTTGCCCACAAGTTTTTTTTGGACATGCTAGTTTCGGTTTTCAAGCGTGCTAAATTTTTGTAATTGGCTACGAGCGAATAGTAGATGGGACCTGTTGGCTAGAAGCAGCGTTTTGCGGGCAGACAATTTTGCAAAAGCATTGAAATTGCTTCTTCATCGGTTCTTCATGAGGAGGAGCCGCAGAAGTGCGGCTGAATCATACATTATGTATGACATGATTGGCGTATTTGTGGCGGCATCAAATGGGATTATGGCCTTGAACTTTTTCCACCCATCCCCCCACCCACAACCATCCGCACACTCAACGTAGGGCTGTTCTCCCCTTGTGGGGCGCCTTCCACTGGCTTTGTCATTGATTTATTGGCTTTCAGCTCTCCGTCTCTGTCCTCTAAATCATGCACAAGTGTGCGTGTGTGCGTGTGTCTGTGGTGGAAGAAAATTCATTTAAACTTGTTCTCAACATATATTACTTTTATCTAGCAGCTATTCCCCACACGGGGAACATTGTTTTAAAAGCTCAAGAAAAGTTGTCGCTTTTTCTTACCTGAAACACCTACACCGCCTACTTTTGCATAATTAAACAACCAAAAGACAGGTGCGAATGGGAATGAGAGCAAAGTTTTGGTGTGCCCGTGACACAGTTTTTTGTAGGCGCCACTAAGCGCATTTTCGGTCCTTTAATTATGCAGTTTGACAGGCAGTTTCCTGTCCCTACAAATCCTACGCTTCACCCCAATATTCTCACCCATTTAATGCCCCAACAAATTGCCAGCGATTGACATAATTTATGTCAAACACAAGTCGTGTTAGGTGTGTGTGTGTGCCCGTTGTCTCTGGCTCCCGAGGGATCAATAAAAATGCCCCCAAAAGGGATGACAACTCTCAGAGAATATAATCCCACCCACACACATACACACACACACACAGACAGAGACACTTTGGCAGGCAAAATCCTTATTCGCTTTAACAATAAAAGGACAAAAAAAAACAAATTTCTCTGTGCCCAATCATCTATGTAAAGTTGTCCCAAAAAAAATGCATGGGTCCAGAGATTGTCCTTGGGGGTTCGCTCAAAATTGATCGATTTGTTGGACAAAATACTCGCAGTAGGGAAAATGTATGGAAGAAGTATATAAATGTTTGGGTCAAGTGCCTGACAATCAATTTCTATACGATTTCCACAATTGATGCAAGTCGCTTCATCAATTTGCTTTGATTTCAAGAAAATCTACGCTGCAGATTGATGGATGTATCGAGAAGGAGCACAGATTTTTTAACAGTTTATTGGATTTTGATTTGGAAGTATAGAAATTGTGAAATGTGAATGGGAAACCTCTTCATTTAATGTAAGAAGTTGCCAGAAAGTACACTAGAGGCTGGGATGAACACACTGGCAAATATATTCTCGTTGAGTGAATAAAAAAAAACAAAGTTCACATTGAAAAATGTCTATTCATATCACTGTATTCTATTCATAAAAATATGAGCACAAGTCTACAAGTAAGCGACCAGATTATCTGCTCAAATTTATCATAAAATTCAAGTGAAAATCAATTACAAAAATGCATCGCATTACATCGAAATGTAAATGGAGCTGCATCTTCATAATTTTGATGGCTTCCATTGCCCTTTACTATGACACTGCGCTCAATGGCCATGGAATATTTGCGGAATCGGCCACAGGAAAAGTTCTGACCAACGCTGGACTACTGCCACATCTGCAGAAGGGCTGCAATGTGGCCGTGGTTGCAAGCGCTCGTGGCATCAAATGCTATGAGAAATATGTGGATCCCTATGTCGTGATATTAACTCAAATGATTGAGGATCTCTTGCGGCAGCTGATGAGCGATGCATCGAACATCTTTGAATGGGCAAACGGATACTTCAACGGCAGTTGGGCATTACAAATCGAAGTCATGGAACAGTATGCCCCAAATGTGTCGAAAAAATTGAAGGCTTTTGCTCTGGATGCCATGAAAAGCTACAACCAAACTGCAACAATAATGGAGGATAACTTGAACCAAGTGATTATCTTTGCCTGGCAGTGCAACAAGAAGTTTCACCAGAAAGTTGATGAATATGCCCAGCGGCAATTGTTCTAAGCAACAAAACATTTAAGCAACAAAACGTAATATTTCTTAAATATGATAAATTTGAACACCGATTTGGCATTGATTAGGACTTAAAAAAAATCTGTTGAAAATTGTCTATTGGTCTGCTCCCATCAACACTGAAATAGTCATACAAAAACATGTACTAAGATGACACCGAAGAAATCTTGCATTAATTTTTAGACGTTGCATATAAAATAAATATTAAATTTCCGAAATTATACATCTAATATTATCTATGTATATAATGTTTAATTTTCCACAAACAAATTGTGTTTATTGTACAATTTCCGTACTGGCCATCATTTAAGATAAACAAAAATGTCTCTTAAACGTTAACCATTAAGTTGAATGTCCGTGAACCAAAAGGTATGCTGATTAGATCTGCTGCCGCAGAACAATCCACGGTAGTTGAGAGTTCTGCAGGACAGGAGGCAGACAAGAATGAAATGAAAGCAGGCAAGGCACCGTTGGGCCGTCGACGTCATCGTCCATCACCCATCAGCATCCAACGGCATCATTCTCCTGGCCATCAAATCCCGTCACAGTCCAACCCCCTGCCTCCTGCAGCATCACCACACAATGTCCAGTATCCAGCATCCAGCATCCAACATCCGCCCCATCGCTTAAAGCAATGAACTTTAAGTAATTTGCTTTTACTGCCTGACAAGTGACGAGTAAAACAAAATGTGACGCTTACTTTTCTACTTTTTATTTCAGTTTATGCCAGGGATAGTGCAAGGGGTATGCGCTATTCCTGCGGTTGTTTGTGACATTCACATAAAAGAATTTATCCCTTCAATTTCTATGCGGAAATGCCTGGGGTATGGCTTCTAAAATTGTTAAGATAGAGCGCTTATATTTGGCAGGGCCTTAGTTACCAAACCTTAGTTCAAATCCAAAATGGTAAGTGGGTATTCCACAGTCGTAGCCATTTAGCCATAGAATTTGTATTTGCTGCAAGATTCTCCGGGCAAGCAGAATGGAGGATAGGGATGGGATGAGAGGAGCATGGTGGCATGTTATCAAAATCAATTTGCGGGAGAAGTTCCGAGAGACTGTAGCAGGGGGCAGGAAGCGCCAGAGCATCAAGCTCAGTTTGTCGCCTATTTTGGTGCTCTATTTTTGAGTTTGCAACTTGTTGTTGCCGGCGCTGCTGCTGCTGCTGCTGCCATTTTATTGTGCAATGTTCCGGAAGGCTGCTTTGTTTCAGCAAAATGCGCTATAAACAAGAGCCAGCGTATAAAAAGCCAAACACAAGTGTGTGTGTGTGTGTGTGTGTTTGTTTTTGAACCATTTACTAGATACGTATCTCAGTCAGCAAGCAGTCCTTGGGAGTACTATGTATGTACTACTACAATGTTTGTCGGATGATTGAGTTGGTCGCAGCTGCAATTTATGCCCTAGCTTCACGAGAGTCTGTGGCTGTGGCCCCTGCCTGCCACTGATTGCCTGTTGGGATATTTTTCTTACTTTTGCAGCTTTGTCGCTTGTAAGTGCGCGATTAGCCTGGGATTGGGGGTTGGGTAAATTAAGGCTTTAAACCACTGAAACATCTAACTTGTGGGATGAGAAGTATACATATATCTTTGCTCCATCAAATTTTGTCTTTAATATATTAGCTTAAAATATTTAAGGTACTTGGGACCTTCAACTGAACTACAGATGTTTCATTTTATTGTTGCCCAACGATGCCGAAAATCCTTGGAATTCCATTAACTTAAGCTAACCATGAAATTGCCAATTTATTATACATACATATGAATATGTACGAGTATGTGCATGTATGCCTATAAATATCATGCATATATTAATAGCTTCCCGTCTAATGTAGCATCTCCTTTCATATCCGCCCACTCATACGAGTATTTTCCACTTCAAGCATAATATATGTATATACAGCTGATTAAATGACCGCAAAAAATAAAAGCTCAACAAGAAAATACCTCATCACATTAACAATCCCCTCCCATCCCATCCAAAAGAAAATATAAGACCACAAGGCATTATGTTCCTTTTCCCAATTTATAACAACCGACTCGGTTGGCAGGAGGATGCCGACTTTGTATCTTAGGGATTGTGCCTTGGAGATTGTTTTTTTTGTAAGCTGCTTATTACAGCTCAAAAAATTTCACCTCGCCCGGGCCTGCAATCTTCGCAAAAGTCGACAAAAATTGTCAAATATTTTGTAGGAAAAACAAAATGAAATAGAGTTCACCTAGAGTTGTGTCCCAGAATTCTCAATGGAATGGAACACAGTGAGGGCCAGAGGTCCCACCAAAGCTGGACCGGACTCCTTGTAACATTGTTTTAAAATGGCAAATGTCTTGCCCCCTATTTGGGTCGGGGCGAAAAGCACTCAGGCGGGGGCCAACAAAATTACACAGAAATGGAGAGAGTGAGTGAGTGAGCGCAAGGAAAGGAATTCCACACATCCACACTATGATATAGGTATTGCTGTAACTGTGTGTGTGTGTTTGTGTGTTAGTCAGGTGACAGAGTAAGCGCCTTAAGCTGGTTGAGAGCGCACACCTAGACGACACCAACACCAACCCCAAACCGGACAGTGCGCCATATGGCAGCAGGGGGGGGGACAGCAACATACGGCACAGTTCCGGGTTCCACTTTCACTGGAATTTCATTGGAATTTCAACGAAGAAGGTGGTTTAGAAATCCCATAAATTTATGTGCTACTGTAAGACTCGTTCACACATAATTTAAACAAAGAGTCACGAATATGAGTCAGAGGGAATGAATAAATATTCGATTCGTTCGAACTAAATGATGTTTCATTCCATTCATAGAACTTTCGTCGTGTGCATTTCATTGATTGGACTTTATTCAAAAGCAAATCTTATACACAATATTTTTTGGACTGTTGGAACCGCTGAAAAATTATTCTAAATTAATTCTTATATATTTTTATAGAATATATATGAATATATTGATTTGTACATGTACATAGTATATACACATATTCTCTTACTCTTATAAAATATTTCTGCATTCGGAGTCTGTGGCCCCCCACACATTTATTCGTTCACTCTTGACATACTTGCCTGTATGGCTAACCTAAATTTAAAACTTTTCTCTACGTATGAGAGAGGGGCGAAAACTTTCCACTAAATTGAATTTGCTGAGGGGGCCCTGAAAGGGCGCTGGGGTTAAACTATCGCCAGCATGCTGGCCTCCTAGCATCCTAGCATCCTAGCATCTGTAGTTAATTTCCACTTCCGAGGCAGATTGTCTGGCAAATTGAGTAATTTAAATAAAGCGTTGCACAAATGCGCCTGACAGTTTTCTTCCTGCTTGGCATTTGGCTCCATGCTGCTGCCATGAGTGTGTATGGTTATGCCCCGAACAATGTTGCAGACACAGACAGATAGGAGTCGATGCTGTAACAGATAGAGACACAGATACATTCCGTAGCATCCATATGCCCGTTGCACTTGTGCTGACGTTTGGTTATTTGATACAATTTGCCAGCCCGGAGCAGCGGGAGCTCCCGGACGTTGCTCAATTTTTGAGGCAGTCAACTGTGCAACGTGTCATTGGCAAGCCGCAGAGTGAAACACAGCGAGGGATAGCGATAGAAGGGGGCGGGGCCAACAAAGTATAACCCACAGTTGTGTACGAGTACGAGTATCTGCATCTGAAAGTCTCTTTTGCGGCTGCTTTCACGCGACCAGCAATAAATTTGCATATTTCCTTTTGCTTCTCCTGCTCCTGCTCCTGCTCCTGCTGCGGAAGCAGCATGCTGATGCTGCAGGAAAATTTACAAGTGAAAAACAACGACAAAAACAAATTGTTTTAAAACGAAAATAGCTAAATAATAAAAAAAGGCCCTGAAAGCGGCACAAGTAAATTGAAGGCTCTGGGCTCTGCTCTGTTTTCTTGTGCCACTCATCAAATTTTCATGTGTTACGAAAATTGAGCCATTTGCCATTCTCCATTCACCATTCTTGAAAATGTGTATTTTTGTTTATTGCTTGGCCGTGCCGTGTCCGTTTATGCGCATAATTTATGCATAAATTTCAATTACCTTGCGCCCCAAAGTATGCCATGGCAAATTTACACACAGCTTGTGACTCGCTTTAATTCACTTACACTCGAGAGTCGTGGGAAAGAGCAAGGAAATCGTAGGGAGAGCGCAGGGGAAAGCAGCAGCAGCATCAGAATTATGTCATAGTCATGCTGGAGGCGAACCCTCTCCCCTCCAGTAGGTACTTTTGTTTGATTTATAATCTGAGGTGTTCATAGCGAATGTAACCGTAAATTGAGATCTTTCGACAGACACGAGGGGCGTAAAGGAAGAACTTTGGGCAATAGAAGATGTGGACTGGCAGAAAACCATTAAGATACAGATTTTGATTTATAATCGTTGAGAGGAAAGCAGAAATATCGAAAGAATTCAGTTTGCAATTGATACTTTGCTACGGATAAAAAATGATCGTTTAAGTGATTTAAATCGTAACAGATAAAGAAATTCTAGTACCTATATTTTCCATAAAATACTCTAAAATATTTTCTCGACTGCGTTCAATTTGGGTCATTAGTTATGAAGTTTACAAACTGCATTAAGCACTGATTAAAAATATTTTGGTAATAATAATAGCCTAAATATTCCACTCAGGGCATTTAATTGTATCAATTTTGTGCGTTCTTTTGTCTAACATTTTGCATAGCTTTTGTTGCAGTATTCAATTTACATTGTAATTAGAACGAAAATTGTTTTAGATAAACTTTCAGTGCTGCTGGCAATAATCTGATTTAAGCTACCTTTTTGGCAGCAAATACTCCTAATGCTCGTATTCATGTTATTTTACGCTCACTAATGAATTTTACATTTTAATTCTTCATCAAAGCGTTCCACTCATTTTTCATACATATATCCATGGAGAAAAAGTCAAATTCCAGCTGCATATTTGCTTGCCCTCTCCACTGACCCAGCATATTCTTTTTTGGTTTTGGTTGAAACAAACAGAAACGAT